TCACTAAAGTACGGAATTTAGTGATGGCCGATGTGTTAGAGGACATAAATAACCATGAACTAAAACTGTCCTAGAAAAGTTATTAGTGTGACGTATTTTGTTTTTTCTAATTATTAACGTGGCTGAACGATAATACATACATACATACATATATATATATATATATATATATATATATATATATATATATATATATATATATATATATTCAAAAGAACTTATTGTCAAACTTAAAGTGAATGTACAGTAAATGTAATCTTTCTTTTATATTTCCTTTCTCGCTTTCTTTCTTTTTTACCCTTTCTTTTTCTTTCTTTCTTTCTTTCTTTCTTTCTTTTTCTTTCACTGCTTCTCTTTTTTTCTTTTCCATGTTTTCTTTATTTCTTCGATATACTTTACATTATAGCATTTCACCCAATTTTCTTCTTCCTGGCTTATTTATTTATTTTTCCCACCTTCATTTCTTTCTTTCTTTCTTTCTTTCTTTCTTTCTTTCTTTCTTTCTTTCTTTCATTTTACGGTATTTTTTTTTTTTACATTTCTGCATTTCACCCAATTTTCTTCTTCCTGGCAATTATAGCTTATTTATTTTTCCCTCCTTCATTTTTGTCCTTCCTTCTTTCCTTCCTTCCTTCTTTCCTTCCTTTTTTCTTTCTTTCTTTCTGTTTTCGGTATTTTTTCTACATTTTTGCATTTCATTCAGTTTTCTCCTTGATGGCTTCTTTCTGTATTTTTTTCTGTCGTTCTTTCTTTCTTTCATCTTTTCTTACTTCCTATTTCTTTTATATTTTTTCTTTTTTAATTTTTCGGAATCTTTTGTCTGCATTTCATTTAATTTTCCTCTTTCTGGTTATTATGGCTTCTTTCTTTCTCTCTTTCTTTCTTTTTTTTCTTTTTGTTTTCCTACTTCTTGTCGTTCTCTTTTTCATCGTTTGTATATTGTATATTTCCTTCCGTAAATCATTCTAAATTCTTTTTAAAATACTGGAGGTGACTGAACTGTAGTAAGCTTTTCCCTTAACAGATAGTAAAATTAATTTTTACTTAATAACAATATCACCTAACCGCTATAATTTAATATGGAATTTTAAAAATATTTAAAACTTTATAAATTATTATAACTGACATTTCTAAAAAAAAATATGGTAAAAATTCATTATTCATCCGAAAATCATTTTCGTAAGAAAATAATGTCTTTAACTAACATATTTTATTCATAAAAGGAATTAAAAGCTTTTCTAATTAAATAATATCATAGGTTTATTGAATATATTTTTTTATTTTACGATTCCGAAGAGAGTTTCTGTGTAACTGTAACTGTGGGTCTTGTTTAACCAAAATAATTTGATGATTTAAATTCCCCGACGACTTGTCCTTATAACTGACGTAAACATTTAAGCCCTCACTGAAAAGAATTTCAAGGAAATTTTATAAAATTAAATAAATAGAAGGTAATAGATGTAAACAAAACAATATTTTCACGCAAAACTGAAAAATAAACGTTTAAAAAAATAATTTAATTTTGTAAATATGATCTGAAAGTTTCATTAAATTTCAATTATCAGATTTTTTGCAAGAATTTCCAAATCAATTTGTTTTCACGGTAAAGAAAAACAGAAAATTCCGATGCAAATTTATGGTGCCACGTTTACGCCAGAAAAAAAAGATTTTTAATTAAAATTTTAAATTTCGAGGGTTCTTAAAAGGAACAAAAATAATTTTTACATAAAAAAATCCTTTATAAAAAAAAAAGTTTTGCTCATTTTTATCGAATGTTTGGAGGTATATATATATATATATATATATATATATATATATATACACACAAGTATATAATTGGTGTATACAGAATGAATTCCAATGACCAACAATACTTGTATTTTGATTGGTCATTCTAGCTTTTGTAACAATGTTTTCCATTTGTGAAGGATCGTTAATTAATTTGAAACTTTTAAAACCATTTATTTTACATTCAACATCATCACTTGATAAGACACCGGGGTTGTTGAAACAAAATGGCTATTTTTGTAGTGATTTTATAACATATTTATGTTATAAATTTTAAAAAATAAATAATATATATATATATATATATATATATATATATATATATATATATATATATATAGAGAGAGAGAGAGAGAGAGAGAGAGAGAGAGAGAGAGAATAGTTATTTTAGTGGGTACACGGGCCTAGAAGACATCCCAGTTTATCGACAAACGGTTTTAATTAACATCTACTGGCCAGGATCAACGAAATTCTTAACACAGATCAAAGAATTAGTCTGAGGGTCATGTGCCACACATGTGCACACATACAAACAAGGCTTCGTGATTGCAGTCATGTCACAGGATATTTTATATCCGTTTAGGTGAAACCTACCCTGAATACCCTGAAGATCCGTTTAGGTTAAACCTAGGTAGGTTTGCCTGGCTCCTTAGGATTATTCTATTTTATCGCTCTACTTAGCATATTGAGTACTCTACGTTTAGTGATTCTACTTGTTTGTTTGTTTTTCTTTGGACTTGAAGCTTAAGCACTTGACAATTGGTCTCGTATTGTAATCGTACGGGAACCGTTGTTTCAACATGACGCGGCCACAAACCCTTTGTTCTTGGTTCTTTCTTTTTTTATTTCCAATTTTTACTCGGCCACCGATTTGTTCTATTACAAGTTAAGCTATCTGAGGTTTTCCAAACGAGTACTACCATATATATATATATATATATATATATATATATATATATATATATCCTTCACCATTCGATGTAACACTTATAAATTATAGCTTTGTTATTCTAGATCGAGCACTATTTTATTTACACCAGCACTCAATGTGAGGTACTATATATATATATATATATATATATATATATATATATATATATATAATTTATTTTAGGATATTAAAACATGTTAAAAATCGCTACACGATTACAATTATGTTTTGGCACCATAAATGTGTCTCTTCAGCCGACGTTAAACTACTGGCGAGTGAAAGATTAATTTTTTTTTAAAAAAAAGCAGAATACTATAAAAATAGACTTATAATAATATTTAACTGTACTAAGCCCTCTTTTAGATTAAATGTTACGTACGGTAGAATCATAGTCCATTTGTTCTCATTTTGCCTGGATATATATATATATATATATATATATATATATCATTCGCAGACCTTACTGTTTCTCTGTATCACAGCCCCTCAGTGCAACTAGACAACCGAATGCCTCAAGGCCGGATCGAAACCCATTCGATTTTGTGTCAGTCAGAGCTTCTACCACTCTAACTTCTAAATCTAACATATTGTTTTTACAAACGTAAACAAACGCTAAGCAGCCAAATTGTTCCATTCATTTTACTGAAGAGCTTCACATTTATGCATGTAACTGTTGTTTTTAGAATTAGCTTGTCGTTCAACAGTGCTCAGTTGAAAATACATTTTCAAGAGCTGTTCATTTTTTAATCAACGCACTTTTTAATTAGTCATTTTCTAATAACTTATATGTAAATGACTTGCTGGACTATCTTGCCATTAGGCTATTAATATTGACATATTGCAACGGTCAGTTTTTAATCTGTAGCTTATGATTGCATCGAACGGTAAGAACAAATAAATTTTTATTCTTAGTATAAATTTTTGTTCTGTTCTTTTATATTGAGCACGGTTTTATTATTGCCACCAGCACTCAATGTGCGTTTTTTTTTTTTTTTTTAATTTTATGCAATAATTTTGTTCCCAATAAAATTGGTATCACTTCACGAAGGTTGGTAGAATTTCCGGGTAATAAAAGTTCGGTCTCATTCGCGTCGCAGCAGACGTTACTGGCGTTGTATGCATATATTTGCTGCGGAATAAACATTAAATTGTTTTTATTATTACGCACGTAATGAGTCCGCAATTGCGCAGAAATTGAGATAAATAGGAACCGTAAAAAGGATGTTGACAAGGTATTCTTCCGCGCTAATGTAATCAGTAGTGAATGTATGCAAACAACGCCAGTAATGGCTGCTGTGTCGTAACGCGAATGCGTCCGAACTTTTTTTGCCGATAACTTCAAAACAGTAGATTTTATCAAAATTTCTTAGTTATTTTCGAATTAAGCATATACATTTACACCTAAGTATAACTATTCGGGAATTTTTGATTAGATAATTAGTGCGGGGCTTAAAAAGTAAATTACACGAATTTCCACAATGTACTTATCTTTATATGAGCAAAATATACTTTAGACTAAAAGTTACATTGCTTTAATATTAAAATAAAAATAAAGCAATAATAAAAAACATGAATTTCAAAAACTAAAGTACACTTGAAATTTGAAAACCTTAGTGTTTGAGCAGAAATATATCCGTGTCGATAAAATAGTTTTACGCTAAATTATGACTACTTTGTATTTAACAATACAGCTTATAATATTTATCCCTACTAAAAGTCATTGGTGATAACGTGTTGTGGTAGTGTCAGGTTTTATAATGAAAAGTGCAGCCTTGCATTCATAAATAAAACGAAATATCTATGAAGAAAACCTCACATATACCATAAATAATAGCTATTCTGCGTGTTAATATATAATTGCTTTTCTATGAACTTCGTCTTTCAGTCGTTTTGTTAATTTTTCTAATGTTCCTAATTTTAAAAAATAATTGGAGCAAATTTTATTGGCAGCCATTAGTTCAATCCAAGATGTACTATCCTCGCTAAAAATGATTGTTGAGAAATCAGTTGCCATGTAGCCTTACGGCCACATCACGGGGAAACACCGGTCCCCGTACGATCACCAGAGTTATTGCTGGATGGGTGACCGCTTAAGACTATCAGATGCTGTCATCTTGGATGTACGGGTGGTATAAAGGGCTTGTGGCCGCATCATGTTGAAACAACGGTTCTAGTACGATCACCGAAGTTAAGCAACGTCGGAATGTTCAGTACCTAGATAGGTGACCGCTTGAGAATATCAGATGCTGGCATCTAGGATGTACGGGTGGTATAAAGGGCTTGTGGCCGCATCATGTTGAAACAACAGTTCCCGTACGATCACCGAAGTTAAGCAATGTCGAACCTGTTCAGTACCTAGATGGGTGACCGCTTATGTATGCCAGGTGCTTTAAGCTTGAATGTGCGTCAGATACCTAGATGTGCAACCGCTTGAAAATAGCAGGTGATACAAGATAGATGTAATAGATAATAGCTTGGTATTGCTAATCAGTGAACCGTGTTCGCATTCCATTTGGATTTGTTATATACATTTACACGTAAATATGCTTGACAAAGGTAAAAATCCACCTTTTCTTGTACCACTAAATCATTATTATCTTCAAAAAATATTCTTACAATCTAAACATATTATCTGGAAAGGATTGATGAAATGTAAAAAAAACAAAACTATTCAATCAGTTACCAAGTCCTTCGTCACCCAACTTAACACATTTCTTTTTGTGAACTTTAATTAAACCTTTCGCTGATTTCTCAGTTTTTGGCCAGTGTTATTAAAATTCTGCTTCTTTCTGTTTACGTACGCAACACTAGTTTCTTCAAATATTTCCTGGCTATTCATTTAATCCTTATTGCGTATTACCCTTTTAATTTTGTTAAATTTTCTACTGTTTCAAATTTGACATTACTTGCAGCAATTTTTATTGCTTTCCAGAATTCATCATTGCCAGAATATTGTTTTCCACGCTCATATATATTTCTTTTAATGATAGGCCTACAAGATTCCTATTGGATTAATATCAGGAGAGACGGTTGCCTATTACATTAATTTGTTTTTGAGGCCATTTTTTAGCAACGTCGGCAATAGTCAACTATTTCTTTCTTTCTATCTGTTTCTCATAAATATATATATATATATATATATATATATATATATATATATATATACGTGTGTGTGTGTGTATTAATTCCTCCATTTATGTATATAAGAGTACTCCTATTTTATATAACACGGCAAATAAGTAAATAAAGGAAACATTTGTTTCACCAAAAACAATCATGTCTCCTGAAGAGTGGATGTAATTTCTGCATAAGTTTTCCGAGGAGAGACAATTGAACATATAATTTTATTTATTTATTACTATATATATATATATATATATATATATATATATATATATATATATATATATATATATATATATAAACAAGTAATCTCCTTGAAGTAAAACATGTTTTAAATATAAAATGAATATTCACAACTCGATTTTTTTTAATTTAATTTTTTTCTTGCATACATGTATAACTCCCGCTTATTTTAATTGCCAAATAATTTTTTTTCAATGTAAATTGTAATCATAGCATAATATATAACTGCGCCAACATTGTGATAATCAGATGCATTCAAATTCAAATTACGTAACAGTCAGTTCATATATGCCAACGGTGAGAGATAATATGATTTATTAATATATACTTAATAGATCTGCTATTTTACATCGAACACTGTTTTATTAACACCAGCACTCTCTCTCTCTCTCTATATATATATATATATATATACTCGACTCTCCCGTTGAATTTCACGTATGAGGGTCAAGCAGATCAGTTCCTAGGAAACGACAGCCCGACACCAGCATATAAGATTTAATTATGGTGGTGAAGGTTTTGTGCAGAAACATTTTTGAATGGCCGAATACGGACGCAGATTTTGAATTCAGAGCTTTCCTTCTTCTAGTTGCTATCCAAGGCTATAGAACTCAGTCTATCCTGCTACCCATAGATGGCGGGAGAAGAAAAGGATTCATACCTTTCCCAATGGAAAGCACGTAAGTGAATGTAATGGACTCGATCTCGGCTCTCCGATTCTTCAATCCAAGCCGCTAACCATTACTACCGTGCCTCCTATATATATATATATATATATATATATATATATATATATATATATATATATATATATATATAGAGAGAGAGAGAGAGAGAGAGAGAGAGAGAAATAGAGAGAGAGAGAGAGAGAGACTGATGTAACCTACAAAGGGTTATGAGAACCGTCATTTGACCTGACGTGCTGTTAATTGTTCAGCCACAGAGAAGCGTCTGGTTAACGACTATTATTTAATATATTTTCCGTTTATGCGTTTTATCTATATCTATCTATCTCTCTCTCTCTCTCTCTCTCTGTATATATATATATATATATATATATATATTACTGACGTTTTATGTAGCGAACAAGTTTAATTTCTTATGTAGCTAACTTGATCCGTTCTGTTGTAATTCATTTCTTATCCGTCATACATCTATCTATCTATCTATCTATCTATCTATCTATCTATCTATCTATCTATATATATATATATATATATATCCCAACCTGTTCATGTCTATCATACTCAAACTTTTCATTATATATATATATATATATATATATATATATATATATATGTGTGTGTGTGTGTGTGTGTGTGTGTGTGTTTGTGTGACAGAAATTAGGCGGATTTGAGATAATGATAATTAAGTAATTCATCGAGTCTAGAAGAAACCTCAACAGAATGCAGAAAGCACTGGACATCTGCTTCGTCCTATATTTGAGATTCATCTGCAGTGCGCATCCACTACCGAGAATTGAAACCCGGACAGTTATGTTATCAGGCAAACGTCTACCAACTAATTCGCTACCTCTTCGTCACCGAGGCCCGTTGGTACGACGTTTCCCTGATGACGTAACTTCTATGAATTACGAGTTATATATATATATATATATATATATATATATATATATATATATATATATATATATATATATATATATATATATATATATATATATATATATATCAGTCTTATCATATCTATCTATATTTACATCTATCTACCTATACATACGTACAAGCAAGTCACTTATTTCCAGGGATGCTCGTCTACTAGGGCGGCTCTTCAATTCGAACCCGTGTCTCATTGCCAGAAAGAGAACGTTCTAACCACTACATACATACATACATATGTATATATGTATGCATATACAGGGTGCACCAGTAATACCTTCCACCTATACATCCCAGAAATACTTCCTACATAATGATAAGATAATGAGCAGTATTTCTGGGAGATATTTCTACCATACTCTTTATTGTTTGTATGCATACGTGTATGTGTGCCTGTATGTATTGCTATGTCTGTCAGTTATGTGCCATACGTGATACACGCTAGGCGATCATGTATCTTTTGATACATGACTGACGTGGCAAATTTATCCCGTAGTAGGTTGCTATTTCTTTCTGCAGTAGACCAATTGCCATCCAAGGCTATAGAACCCGGTCTTTCCTGGAGGGTGGGGAGAGGAAGAGGATCCATACCCTTCACAAGGGTATTAGCACGTAAATGAATGTAATGGATTCGACTGGAATTCGAAGTCGGCTCTCCGATTCCTCAGTCAGATCCGCTATCCGTTACACTACCGTGCCTCATATATTACCATGTACTGTCGTATTTTCCCGACACTTCAATCGATTTACAATCTTCAATCTGAGATTTTCGCCATTGTCAACATAGTCAGTTTCAGAAAGATGACTTTACACTACTTTCTACTATGATTATCTTCACCCTCCTTCACACACACTTTCAGGATGCCGTTGGGGAGGCACACCTTATTTTTTTTATGCTAGAGTAATGACTATGTGATATCATTGTCCTTTGAGAATGCACATGGTGGCCTTTCTTAACTGTCATTCTGGTGTCATCCGTACAAAGAAAACAACAGCTGGGTCGCCAACAATACCTTCATTACAAGATGACCCCGAAGTCAAACAGTGGTTTGGATTCGAAGGAACATTACCACTAACGCAAAGAGAAAGAGAAAGAGAGAGAGAGAGAGAGAGAGAGAGAGAGAGAGAGAGAGAGCGTCCCAGCAGTACCTAACAATACCATCAAGCATTGTTGGTTTTATGCCAGAGGGATAATGTGCAAACCGTGTCTCACAGCACAGCTGTCTGTTATTGAAGACATTTTGCTGTATATGCATTTCAGCACCTATGGGCCTATTATAGGTACTGACGCAGTTGGATATTTATATTGGACTGGCGCCAATGGTCGGGCCTTCAAAAAGTTACAATTCCAGAATTTGATTTATGAGGAACACCATGCGACATCAATCGAAATCATGGTGTTCCTCTCATCCATTGACACTCTTTCAACATTCTACCGGACTAAGTTAAACTTAACAGACACGCATATATATATATATATATATATATATATATATATATATATATATATATATATATATGCGTAGGGGTGTAAAATTTCAGATATAACTAAAATATATCTGTAAAAGGACAATATGAATAAAGACAAAAGGAAAACTTTTCGTCTTCTGATGAACTTTATCAAGGCAAATGTAATAATTTTATTTTGCAACAAGTATTTATAAACAAAAGTAAAAAGTGCCGTGAGTTTTTTAAAATTTTTAAATTTAAGAACATTCAAAAAAATGCATCAAGCTAACTGAAAAAACTAGGGAAATTATGGAGTGACGTTATTTCATGTCTAAAAAACAAAAGCGTGTAATTTTTTTATAATGTAATTAATATTTAGATTATTTAGTTTGCAATTAATTTATGGATTATATGTTTGAAATAATAGAAAGATATGAATTAAACCATTTTCTTTTGAATTTTTAACATTTTTATAGTCATATATGTTGGCTTCGGAAAGAAGTAATTCTTTCAGGAATGGAGGTATTTGGGCTGCATATTTATATTTTGATAAAGTTCAATAGCTGCACTCTCAAGAATTTCACATCTTCCAAGTAAGTTACGTTCTTTGTCAATAAATGTGGCATTTTTTATTATCAAAGTTGTGGTTGAATTTAGTTCTATGTATGATTAATACATTTAACAAATTGTTGTGTATAAGATCCTTTTTAAGATTATATATATATATATATATATATATATATATATATATATATATATATATATATATATATATATGTGCATGGGGAATTTTCGAATGATTTTATCCGACATTAATTCGTATTATTTTTCGTTGGTAAACATGTTTGAATTGGTATGGCTACTTTTTGGTTTTATTAAAACTTGAAATTAATAACAACCGATTTTATTTTATATATATATATATATATATATATATCCATTCATTTACGTACA